TGAAAGCCCTTCTAAATGATAAAAGCAAATTTCAGAAACTGGCTGTAAAAAACGACATAGCAGATAAGATTGAAAAGCAATTAACAGATTCACTGAAAGAAATTAAACAACAAGGTTTTATTTCAGAAAAGATGTTCGAAATGTTGAAACCTACAGGAACGATGACACCAAGACTATATGGCCTACCAAAAATACACAAAAGTGGCTTACCCCTTCGACCAGTTTTAGATATGAATAACTCAGCGTATCATACTATAGCAAAATGGTTGGTGCAAATTCTTAAACCGTTACACAAAGAAATTGTCAAGCATAGTGTCAAGGATTCCTTTGAATTTGTTGAGAACATAAAAAGTTTATCAGTCAAGAATAATTTCATGTTATCACTTGATGTATCATCTTTATTCACTAACATTCCATTACAAGAAACAGTTGATTTTATTTGCAATGAACTAACAGAGAGACGTATAGAAACCCCGATTCCAGCATCCGCGATAAAACAGTTAATTCTCAGATGCACAATGAATGCACAATTCAGATTTGACAACGAATACTATAGACAGCTAGATGGAGTTGCCATGGGATCACCATTGGGCCCTCTACTGGCTGATATTTTCCTTGCAAAACTGGAAAACGGACCACTTAAAAGCATAATTAGCCATTTACCAACTTATTATCGCTATATAGACGACACCTTCATAGTACTAGAAAAAGAGAATGATAAGGACAGTTTACTTAATACATTTAATAACGTTCATCCATCAATTAAATTTACATCAGAAGATGAACAGAACGACAGCATATCATTTCTAGATGTCCAGCTAAAAAGAAGAGCAGACGGAACTTTAAAAAGAGGGGTACACAGAAAATCTTCAGCAGGACAATACACTCATTTCTATAGTGCAGTTCCAATCAGATACAAAAGGAACTTGATTAAAATCTTGACACATCGGGCTAGAATGATTTGCTCTGAAGACACCATCGAAGAAGAATTGAATAATATTCGGAACCTACTTAGCATGAATGGGTATCCCATGAAATTCATCGACAAACATATGATGGAGAAGAAAACAAGCACAAAGATACCCACCGTCCATAAGAAGGTACTATTCATAAAACTACAATTCATAAATGACACCATTGAAGAAACCTTAACTCAGAAACTAAGAAGAGCCGTACAAAAAACATTTAATGCTGCCAGATTAAATGCAATCTTCTACAACTATCCTAAGATAAGAACAGCCAAAAAAGACAGACTGCCTGAATTCGCCAAATCTATGTGTATCTATCGTTTCAACTGCTCCTGTGGAGCCAGTTATATTGGGCGTACAATTCGGCAAGTCCGTCATCGCATTACTGAACATCATCCGTCGTGGTTAAACAAAGGACAGGTAAAAGTGATTAAAAGTTCTATTCTCTCTCACTTGGTTGACACAGGTCATCAAGTCGAATTGAATAAAGCTTTTAAGGTTATCTACAATATCCCATCTAATTTGCCACATGGTTTACGAGTGAGCCTCTTGCATATTGCGGAAGCCATCGCAATCCATGTTCACAAACCTGACCTTTGCATTCAAAAGAGATTCGTACAACCACTTTCCCTGCCCTGGCCATCAGTTTAAGATTTCCTTCAAAATAACTATTTTTCATACTTCTTCCATTTTTTTTTTAACTTTTTAAAACTTTTGTAAATCTATTTCTGTTGCTTTTGAACTAAATAACTTCTCAACCTTCATCTCTTGATTCTTACATAACCACTATCCTATTGACCATCCGTTAAAATTCTGTTCCTTCTTTGTTTCTTACATGACGCAACTTAGCAACTTCTTGATCACTTTGAGTATTAATAATCCTCTTTCTTCCAATTACTGAATGTTAATTTAAAATGTCATTATGTAATTATTACGTAACGTATCCACTCGATGAGGATTATATCATAATTGTAAATCATACTTAGATATATTAGTGTAGAGCCATGATGAAAAACTAATTGAAAAGAAATTTCTTCGCTCAATTCGTTCCTTCTTTATTTACCAAATGGCAAAATGGGAATTTTCACCATATTGAAAAGTATAAAAGTTCTATAATACATTGTCTAACAAATATACACTGTGATGAACACCCTGTTACAGCTGATCTAGTCAACAACTCGTATTCTATTTAAAAGATTTGTACAGGTTCCGAATCTTCTTAAAACACATTTCATTTAATTCCATGTAGTTTATTTACTTAACTTTGATATGTATGTATGTATGTGTGTGTATGCATGCAGGTATCAGTTCCTTCCATTTTGTTTCTCTCTTTATAAAACACACTTGTTGAAATACTTGATGATGAGAATTCTATATTGTACCATAGATATATAGTATTGAATCAAACCATCAATCATATAGAATGATTTTTATCTCGAGTATTTTGTTCTGATGGTGGTAATCATCACTGATTGATCGTATTTATCAAATTAGGTATTACGGTCGAGTTGGTTCAACATATTATGAAACTAATCAATAGTGGACACTCACAAAACTCCCAGAATCTTCATATTTCATAACATACTGTTAAGCTTTAGAACCATTAGGTTGTTATCCAGTGGTATACTTATGTATCAACACTATGGAAACTTCTTCGACACTACGGCGTGCCTCAGAAGATAGTCAATATCATACAGAATTCCTATGATGGATTACACTGCAAAATCGTGCATGAAGGGCAGTTGACAAAGTCGTTCGAATTGAAGACCGGTGTTAAGCAAGGTTGCTTACTCTCACCCTTTCTCTTTCTCCTGGTGATCGACTGGATCATGAAGACGTTGTAGTGTTAGTCATTCGTTTTAGCCCATAGTATATCTTATTCTAGTTTCCGGACATTCCATTCTACTCATTCTACTTGAGTCATGTTTTGACCTTGTTAATTATTCGCTTGTTAGCCTTGACTGTATTCATGTGAGCGTATATGTATGTACACTTGATGTCCCATGACTCATCACATGTCTGTAGTTCATTTTGTCTGCCTATAAATATTGAGTAATGTTCGGCTTGAATTGGAGTTGGCTTTCCAGCCATCTTCCATACAATCTGAAATGGATTCGAGAACCACGGGCCACTAAAACGTCAACGTCTGAAGGGATGCGCGGGATACAATGGACATATGGGATGCAGTCGGACGATCTAGACTTCGCAGACGATCTGGCCCTTCTATCCCAAACGCAACAACAGGTGCAGGAGAAGACAACCAGTGTGGCAGCAGCCTCAGCAGCAGTAGGTCTCAATATACACAAAGGGAAAAGCAAGATTCTCCGATACAACACAGCATGAACCAATCCAATCACAATTGACGGAGAACATTTGGAAGATGTAGAAACCTTTACGTATTTGGGCAGCATCATTGATGAACAGGGTGGATCTGATGCAGATGTGGAAGCGCGGATCGGTAAAGCAAGATCAGCATATTTACAACTGAGGAACATCTGGAACTCAAAGCAACTGTCAACCAACGCCAAGGTCAGAATTTAAAACACAAATGTCAAGACAGTTCTACTGTATGGGGCGGAAACCTGGAGAACTACGAAAGCCATCATCCAGAAAATACAGGTCAGTCAGTCAGTCAGTCAGTTACAACGTAGGACCAGGCACATATGTGCATCGGTCCAGGTTGCCATACCTCATTAGCACAACAAGATGAACACCGGATTCATAGGAGTGGTTAGGTCAAAGGTTGCAATAAGGATATAGTATAGGAAGGAAGAATTAGTTCGTAGAAAGAAAGATATGAAGTGATTTTAATCTCTTAGTTTAAGGGAAGACAGGGAGTGTATACACCGACGCCATTGTGATCGATTCTGAGCCATGTCACCAAGAGTCTCCAACCATTGGTTACGAAAGTCACGCGGACCCCAACCAAGTAGTCTGCATCTACCAACATGGCTAAGACTAGAAGTTAGTGACTTCAAGCACTGATGCCACGTTTTGGTTTGGCCGCCCCTAACTTTTTTCCAACCATCCCCTACACCGGTTAGCATTGCACGTCGTGGTAATCGGTGTTCAGGCATACGTAATACGTGGCCCAACCATCTCAGTCGATGAAGATTCATAACCTCATCAACTGATTTACCATCATTCCCTAATACCCTGCGTCTAACCTCACTATTACTTACCCGGTGATCCCAGCAGACGCCAGCAATATTTCTAAGGCATCTGTGGTCAAATAAAAAATACAGGTGTTTATTAACAGTTGTCTACGCAAAATACTTCAGATCCATTGGCCGGACACTATTAGCAACCACGTACTGTGGGAGAGAACAAACGAGATCCCAGCGGAGGAAGAAATCAGGAAGAAGCGCTGGAAGTGGATAGGACACACATTGAGGAAAGCACCCAACTGCGTCACAATGCAAGCCCTCACATGGAATCCTGAAGGCCAAAGGAAAAGAGGAAGACCAAAGAAGACATTACCCCGAGAAATGGAAATAGACATGAGAAAAATGAACAAGAATTGGATGGAACTAGAAAAGAAGGAAGAGTAGGACAGAATGGGTTGAAGAATGCTGGTCAGCGGCCTATGGTCCATTGGGAGTAACAGGCGTAAAAAAATACTTATGTATATATCTATATAATTATCGACTTTTTTTCTGCATTTTTGTTTTCTAAAGGAAACTTGTTTAAGTACTTTGTTCTAATAATTCTATATTGTTATTGACTAATACGATTAAAGTTGTTGATTATATACGAGGATAGGTGACATATATATATTTCAACAACAATCATCATTACAATCTCCTTGGAGTCAAATCCACGGGCCACTAAATTGAAGAGTCCTTTCAACAACAACATCATTCGATCTAAATGACGATTAAATAAAACGGACCTCCACAGTATACTTATGTATGTATCTATGCATTGATCGACTTTATTTTTCCCCTGTATTTCTCTTTTATAAAAGAAATTTGTTGAACTAATTCATTTTTATTCTTTATATTTATCTTCTATTTATTCAATTCTAAATAGATTGATGAACATTATACAAATAAATTTTGTTCAATTCTAGAAGATTCAATGCAAGAATTAAAACATTATGCTGAATTAGTTCCAGGATTTATGAATTTATCAATAAATGATCGTGAAATCATGTTAAATTTACATTATTTAGATTTATTAAGCTTTCGTTTAGCTTGGAGGTAAGTTCATTTTATTTTAATTAATTTGATAATGATTCTTTTTATTTATGATAATAATAATAATAGTAATGGTATTATTGGAAGGGGTTTTGTGGAGATTTTAGAAATTTCACTGGTTGAAATCATTAGTCATTTGAAGCTAGACGACCATGGAAAACCTGGAAGCACTGGACAGCCGTTTTGTCTTAGTATGGAATTCCTCAAAAGTGCGTGGGGCGGGATCGTGGATACGCACTGCTGAGGAGTCCCATACTAGGACGAAACGACTGTCCAGTAATGGTATCATAGTGAATGAGAACATATAATTGGGGACAATCGGATGTAATCGAATACAACATGACAGAATTATTTAGTAACGTCTGAGAACTATGCAAGAAATATTTCATTCGTATAATGTTATGGCAACTCACGTGCAATTGAGTTTGCTCTCATTTAACTCGATTAAGCCCTTTTGTTAATTTATTTAGCGGACAAAGTCATCTGTGCTATAACAACTTATTGTACCTTTATTATTGTTGTGCTTGTATGAAATATGTATGCTTGAACATTGCTAACCGCTTATTCATAGATTCATTCTGCTAGCTTTATTATCAACTGCTTAATTGATTCGATGATCCATTCATTTCCTTATACATATATACATGTACATTTAACACTCTACACTCTCAGTTCTCTGACTCACTCATTCGCCTCACTGCTTTGTGGTCTGAATTATCTGCTAATAAAACCGTAGTCGCTGCTTCTCTTGGTCTTCTGATTTCAAACACCATTGAGGATTATGTGATAATGATTATGAGGGTGATTGGTCAATGAAGCACAGCCACTACAATGTCAATCAATTGTCTCAAACTTCATTGTTCCTTCATTTTCATATCAATCATTCTTTGTTCTTGTTCTCTTTTCTTTGATCTTCATAGCCTTTTGCCTTCAGCCAATTCACTTTCGATTGATGATACATACTACTTATATCTATTGACATCAGTAGCACACTTCACAGCATCATTCAATATTACATGTTTAGTACAATATGAAATATATTTTATACATTATTTTAACAAATTCAATTGGCATTTTTTCACTTGTATCTTCTCATTGCTGTTTAGCACTGTAACTAATTAGTATTTTGTTGACATATGTGCATCCTGTGCAGATTGTCCAGATATTGTCTTAAGTCATAAGTTTTATAGAGCGATGATAGAAAGTGGCTAGCAGCGGAATACAGGATGGGTGTTTTGTCCTATTTAGGATTCGTCAGCTGATTGTGCTTGTATCACAGGATTGATGTTCTTTCCAATTGACGAGTCTTAAATAGGACGAAACGCGCATTCTGGATTCCATTGCTAACCCCAATCCATCATTACCATTTCTACAAGTTCTACTTAATTTTTGTCAAAGTTTATGTGTATACGTTTAGTGATTAAATATACGTAAATAAAAGGAAATGAAACTTTAATTAGAGTATAAAATTCTTAACCATAGTGACTAACTTCGATACTCAAATGGAGTTCATTTTGGTTATGACAGCCATCTATTCCCATGCATACCTGAATCTTACTCCGATATAAGATATACTATACAGGAAAGAAGATTTAGATTTAGTGGATCATTCGTGACTGATAAAATAACAGTTATCAGTTGTTTGGAAGATTTCAAATGTTTATCCCTGATCATTTTAATAATAACCCCGAAAGTTTTACCACAAAAGAGTGTATTACTCACTGTCATATACTGTTCACTGTTCATATAAGATTAGAACAAGAACATGGCTAAAACTTGCAAAGCTATCAGAATTAAGTAGCGAAACGTCAGCGAAAATAGTTTTATCGCTTTTATCATTCATCCTAAAATATAGATTCCTAACAATAATGAAAAGCACCCACACACACACAGTCATCAAGCTTATCAATGGTCAGACTAGTTTGTTTATTTTATTTTAACTTAAATATTGGTAAAAAGGGGCACCGAATAGGTATGCGCCACATAAGTCACCTGATTTGTGTGCGGGCTGTGATACTACTGGCATACCCGAGCCGAACATGGTGGTCTTTTTAGCCGACCACACCCAGAGCCTTCGATCTAAAGGTTTGACCCACTAAGCAGTAGATCAACATTAGGAGATGCAGTCTCATGGCAACCGGTAGCCAATGGTTGGTTCATATATCATTTGTTGCCTCAAGATTCTGGAGCTAATATGCATCATTGGTTTGGAATCAGGATTTTCAAACTACCCTAGGTGGACTCTCCGTGTCTACCAATCCGGTTAAAGCGTCGGATATTCGCATTTCCTCCTCTCAATTTTGTAAACAACAGTAATGCTACAAGAAGACAGTGATTAGGACTTCCCTTACAGTGGTTGTATACACGTGGCCATGTGAGAGCATTTAAAGAGGGAGAGCTGATTCTCCCCATTCTCGGCCGTACCGGAGCAATGGCTTGATTAACTTTTTTTGAACTTATTACATTTATTACAAAAACTATTTTTAAATCTGATCTGTGGGCGAGAATAACAATGACTGGTTTTGTGCTTAGTCTAACATTCAAATAGTCTGACAGGTGTCAGATGAGTTATATATTCACCTTTTCTTATAATTATTATTATTGATTGTTCGTTGTTGTTGGATTGTGTCGGGTTTTTTGGTGTGGAAATATATTTACGTTCTAGTCAGGCTAATCACGTGTTCTTGATCTGAGTTGTGTTGAAGTCTTGTAGAATTAACACTGTGAGGGAATCTAGTGTAGATATTCGTCTAAGGTAAATTAATGTCCCATTCGTGTAGACTTGGAAAGCGAACCGTTGTAACAATATCAGAGACTTATTCAAACTAGATAGTTATTTGTCGAATCTAAATGATACAAAAAGATGATTTGCTCTGAATCTCATTCAAAGGTAAAACAAATAAAATTTAACTGACCGAATAACCACTCACATATTTTATTGGATTGTTAATGATTGCAAAGAACGTATTCCGATTCATGGATTTTATAGATCAGTACTGTCATATCTATCTATCTATCTATCTATCTATCTATCTATCTATCTATCTATCTATCTATCTATCTATCTATCTATCTATCTATCTATCTATCTATCTATCTATCTATCTATCTATCTATCTATCTATCTATCTATCTATCTATCTATCTATCTATCTATCTATCTATCTATCTATCTATCTATCTATCTATCTATCTATCTATCTATCTATCTATCTATCTATCTATCTATCTATCTATCTATCTATCTATCTATCTATCTATCTATCTATCTATCTATCTATCTATCTATCTATCTATCTATCTATCTATCTATCTATCTATCTATCTATCTATCTATGTATCTATCTATCTATCTATCTATCTATCTATCTATCTATCTATCTATCTATCTATCTATCTATCTATCTATCTATCTATCTATCTATCTATCTATCTATCTATCTATCTATCTATCTATCTATCTATCTATCTATCTATCTATCTATCTATCTATCTATCTATCTATCTATCTATCTATCTATCTATCTATCTATCCACACATCTATCTATCTATCTATCTATCTATCTATCCACACATCTATCTATCCATCTATCTATCTATCTATCTATCTATCTATCTATCTATCTATCTATCTATCTATCTATCTATCCACACATCTATCTATCTATCTATCTATCTATCTATCTATCTATCCACACATCTATCTATCTATCTATCTATCCACACATCTATCTATCTATCTATCTACCTATCTATCTATCCACACATCTATCTATCTATCTATCCACACATCTATCTATCTATCTCTCTATCTATTCATATATAACGGTTTTAAATGTATAATGCGAATAAGTCCAAAATTTTGTTGGAATTGGATAATATATTGATTCTTAGTCAGATTGTTGTGATATTTCTTAGAGATCATCAGGAGTTGACGTTGGTCTATGAAGTATTGAAGATCAATGATCTATGAGTGATGATATTTAATAACGTTTAAAAATCTTATTCAATGAGTATTATAAGATCATGGGTTTCTGATCCCATGATAAAGACTTGATAAACAGTCGGTTAATTGGAAATTAAATTTTTACACGTTTTTGTAGCTGAAATAGCAAGGTGTTTATTACAAAATTAAATATTTACCTATTTATAGTCTGAATGAATTGTAAGGATAATTAATTGTGCTGTCAAAACAATCAACACAAATCATTCTATATCAGAAGGGGTTTTATTGATATTATTTGTAATTTTAATATTAAGATCATGCCATTTCAAGCTAGACCACCATAGAAAACCTGAAGGTACTGAACAGCTGTTTCGTCCTATTGTGGGACTCCTCAGCGGTGCGCACCCACGATCTCACCTCGTCAGTTTCTAATCCAGGGCCTATCGGTCTCGCGCGCGAACACTTAGCCGGTTATTTCTGATATATATATATATATATATATATATATATATATATATATATATATATATATATATATATATATATATATATATATATATATATAAGTCTCTGTATTTTAACTTAATAATAATAATAAGGTTAAGGGATGAGTTCTTACGTTAGTATAACTAAGTATGAAAAGACTTAATATGCATTGCTGATTCGTATATTCTCAGTACAATATGCTCAATAGTCATTTTTAATGCCTTCACCCAATACTATCATAACAAACACATTGAACGAATAGAATATCTCTCATAAACATATTACTGAACTAATCTAATAACTTTTCATGATATAATATATAAACTGTCCAGTGTTATTATAGGACGTTACATAATATTAGAATATATACATATATCTTAATAGTTGAGATCATGAGTCAATTGAAGCTAGACCATTATAGAAAACCTTGAATCACTGGATGGCCGTTTCGTCCCATTGTGGGATTCCTCAACAGCTTCCACTGACTAATGATCTCAACTATGAAAATTACTATAATTTTCACAAAACCCCTTCTAATATATCCATATGTATATACTTTTTGAGTCTACA